AACGACTGATTACTATCATTTAAGGACTATGACGCTATTTGGACCAAGCCTCTCTCTGAAGAACAAAGGCGTTACCCCGCCTCCGGAAGCTACGACTATGCTCAGGTGGACGTGTGGCCAAGACAGATCAATAATGGGGTGGTTGTGTCCAAGGCTAAATCTTTCTTTCTCTCTAAAGTGCTGGAGTCTTTTAGGTACGTTTTGGTAATAGTGTATTCTTTATTGCAAAAATAAAAGAAATTAAATGTACGTTATCCAATTTTAACGGCTGGTTACCATTAAATTATTGGAAATGTATTGACAGTTGCTATTCCGTTACCTACTATTTTGTTAAATACTAAAAGCAAAAAAAAAAAAAAAAAAAAAGGGCATACTGGGAGGTTAATATAATGCCCCTGGGAAGTTTTTTTGCAAAAACAACAATCAATTTAATGGGGGGTGGCACTCTGGCAGGCTGCGATTTGGCGCCCCGGGCTCCTATGTAAGTACTATGGCAAATAGGTTCGTTTCAAAATATTATGCTTTATATCATGAATACAATGGAGTAGTATATCCAAACCAGCGCACCTCTTTAACCTGGACGAGCGCAAAGATATTTTCAGCTTAACTAGTATAGAAGATGTTTGACGTACGTTTATGATTTTGTGTGGATAAACTCACGCCAAAAACAATGATTCAAGAAATATAGCGCCTGATCTATTTTAGGTTAAATAACTCGGTTTTAGAAAACAAGGCAACACGTCTATAAATACGCGATTGGTAATGCTTTAGTAAAATCGTTTTAAAATATTACGTCTAACCGCAGCAACGCGCTGGTCGCGTACGCTAGTGTAAAATAATCAGTTTAATTGTTGTTTTTAACATAAGGAATTTATAAAACGAAATATTCGTAAAGTCCTTTTTATTTACCATCTACATTCTCGCAGACATTACCGTGATGACATATGGAGCTATAACTCGTGCCTTATGTACTACAAGATCTACGAGAAATATCCTGAAAGTTTTCATATCGACGCCAGGTTACAGGTTCGTGGCTGTCTTGTTTCCTGACATTTTCTTTTTTACACTTCTGTTATATTTCAAGTAAACTCCTCTAGAAAGAAACTACATCCGGATGTTTAATACTAAGTTTAACAACTCATTTAGCTTGCCCCAACTAATAACCCCCCTCCGATAAATCGACCCAGTCAAAATAGCCCCGTCAAAAGAGCCCCAAAATATTGGCTATGGCCAACTGGGCTCCCGTCCTGTTGACCCAGACATATTGGCTTCCGACAATTGGGCTCCAGACAAATGGGCTCACGATTAATTTGCTCCTGACAAATGTGCTCCCGACATAATTCTCCAAACAAATAGTCTCCCGACAAAATAGCTCCTAGCATACTGGCTCAAAATAAATTAATCGTATCACCACTACTTGCAATATATTAGTAATAGATCCTAACTTCAGATTTCTCTATACCTTTAATTAAGCAATTTCCAATAGCCGGTAAAATATTTGATTATATTTCTAGTTTCTCAACAAACAAAAATTACAGCTTTGTTTCACTTAAAGTGTCTTACTTACGTCTTACAAGATTGTAAGATCCAATTTAGGGAATCTCACTCCAGTTTTAATTCATTTGATTTTCACGCATCACTTTAAAAAATTGTTTTCTTTCTTTTCACAGGTAGGATGTAGTTTAGGCATCTGCCACCCGACATGGTTCAGTGATTTTCAACGTAATTGGAACGATCGTCGTCCAACACCAAGGGTAAACATAGAGGAGGCTAATTGTACGTAATGTTTTCTAACTAATTGTGTCCATTCGAAAGGTTTAGGTCTTAGGTTAAGGTTTACGTTTAGGTTTATTTTTAGGCCTAGGATTAGGTTAAGGTTTATGCTTAGGGTTAGTTTTGGGTTTGGTTTTAGATTTAAGGTCAGGTTTTGGCTTTAGTTATGTTTCCGGTTAGGGTTAGTGTTTACTTCTCTATAACACATTCAGTTCAGTCGAAGTATAACATTGTCTTTTGCATCGATCTTATTATTCTTGACTTAGAATATTCACAAATAACAACTAGTTCATGGGTATTATGGTTAGGGTAAGAGTTAGGGTTTATCTTTCCATAACACCTTCAGTTCAGTCTAGGTATAACACATAGTCTTTTGTATCGATCTCATTATTTTCGAATTAGAATATTCGCGAATGACCACTAGTACACGCTGCGCTTTATTTGTATCCAGACAAATGAAAGTAATAGATGCATTTTTTATTAATATTTAAAAGACATTTGTGTCTATCTATTCAACGCGTTGTTTATATGTCTATGCAATTATCAACCTTTTATTTTTATAGATACCATTTGTTTTTGTTTTATTGGCATCTTTTTGGCAGTCGGGGTAATATTTATCGCCCCCCCCCACCCCACGTCCCCTGTAACATTTTTGAGATAGAAATTTACGCCCAGCGTAGATTGAGGCACCTACCTCACAGATGATTATGCTCTAATACTAAATATGACACTAAACAAATTGTACGTATTTAAAAAAATTTCTATAACGATTTAAAATGTTGAATCTAAACGGGTAAAAACATGGTTTGGTGCTGTGTGTAATAGGGTTTCATTATCTCAATGCTGACGAAAACTTCTATCTGCTGATAAAATATTAGAAACATAATCATTTATTAATTATACTTTAAAATTGCTGGGTAAAATTTAAAAAAAAATGGTATTTGAAAACTAAAATGAATTATTGCGCTATTTCACTTTTCAGCTTTTCAAATTTTCGAACACAAAGATTTTACTCCCTTTACCTCGTTCTCTCAACACGTCAACGAAACTAGTATTGAGGGTGTTCTTCTTAGAAGAGTAATGGCAGCCATAAGAAAAGCTGGGAAACACCATCTGTTGGTAGAAGTGTGAACACATCAACAAAACGTTAATGGCACATAAACCGTCGCTTTAAAAAATTTCCATGTGTATTTATAAAGTAACTAGTTGTAAATCATATAAGGCAGCGACGTAATTAAACTCACTATTCAGAAACACCTATATCTCAATTAAATTCACTATACAAAAATATCATCAAGGATGGTACACAATCCATGGAGAGAGAAAGTTTATTATGAAAAGCGTGCTTTAATGTATATTTAACTTTGTCGATATAAAAACCATTTTAGTGAAAATGTAAATAGAAAGCTATGCAGATGTTGATACATAGCTTGTAAAGGTCTAAGCCTAGAATTAATACAACTTGTAAAAATCATTTTCAGTGATGATGCTGTTTTTTACCGTACATTTGTAAATGCAAATTTTTGTAGAAGATTTGCAAATAAATGTGAAAAAAAGTTTATGAATTTGTTTGTTTTACCTAAATACTTATATATACATTGACCCGAAACATACGATTTTATAATCGTGAGTTTCTTTGGTCAGATCACTCATTTTACAATAAAACATAATCCAGCTAGCACAAAGCACATACAACGTAAACTATGGAAGTGAAGTGTTTTAAACGGTAGCTGATAGGGTTTTGTTTACAAACTTTTATATAGTTCGCAACGGATTGTTTGTTTGTGTCTTGGTTGGTTGGTTTGTTGGTTGGTTGGTTGGCTGGTTGTTTAGTTGGTTGGTTGGTTGGTTGGTTGGTTTGTTGGGTGGTTAGGTGGTTGGGTGGTTGGGTGGTTGAGTGGTTGGGTGGTTGGGTGGTGTGTTGGTTGGTTGGTTGGTTGGTTGGTTGGTTGGTTGGTTGGTTGGTTGGCTGACTGGTTGGTTGGTTGGTTGGTTGGTTGGTTGGTTGGTTGGTTGGTTGGTTGGTTGGTTGGGTGGTTGGGTGGTGTGTTGGTTGGTTGGTTGGTTGGTTGGTTGGTTGGTTGGTTGGTTGGTTGGTTGGTTGGTTGGTTGGTTGGTTGGTTGGTTGGTTGGTTGGTTGGTTGGTTGGTTGGTGTGTGTGTGCGTGTTTGTTGGATTGTTTGTTTGTTTTGTTTGTTTGTTTGTAAATTTGTATCTAATCTTGCAAATCGTTGGTCTCTCATGAAATCTTTTTTTTTATTTTAGCGAAAAAAAGCTTGTTTGAAAGAAAGCAGATTAGTTTTAATTTCTTATTTTCCGTGTGCATTAAAAAGATTGCTGCTATTAAAGTTTTTTTTTGCTGTATTTTCAAAATAACTATAAAAGATGTAGTTGATCGTTAGATATAAAAGAGAGGTAACCAATAAATATTTACCATGATGTGCTGTTACTAGAAGATGTAAAGATTACGGAATTGTAGCTGTCTTTATACATATTCTAATACTGTAGTCGAACACAGTGCTGTTTCTTCATCATTTTAAGACCCATGTAATTTATTTTATGTATTTATTTTAAAAACCATAAATTTTGTCATTTAAAACTTAGGGTAATAATTTTTTAATTGTAAGTTGTAAATACTTGTACGTTAAACTACTTTGTAATTAATTTTATATTCAAAGGGATTTCCTCTCATATAACAAACATGTAAGGGTCAACATGTTATACAGTATATGACCCCTTGACTCAAACATTTCCTGCTCTTCTCTCTACGCTTGCTTTTATAGGCTCCATCCACCCGAGAACAATCTTCATGACAGCAGTTGTTTGATGTTAGAGTTGTCTCTCTTAGATGGGTAGCTCTCACTAGTTCAAGCGCATCGGAACTTTAATTTTTTTTTATCCAGCGAGATTTATATATATATATATATATATATATATATATATATATATATATATATATATATATATATATATATATACATATATATATATATATATATATATATATATGTAAATATATATATATATATATATATATATATATATATATATTTATATATATATATATATATATATATGTATATATACTGTGACACCAGAATAAGATGTTTTCAGTGAAAAAACAACAACATCAAAATACTTTTCAAACACATTTTATCAACAAAATAATAAATATATTTCTTAACAATCACACGTGAAAAGAAGTGAAAAACTGGATTTCTTTTTATAGTTAAAAATATAACTCACTGGTCTGACAGATGATGGAATGATTGTTCTTTAGAAACCTAGGCACAGAGCTTGGGCAGCTGATTTAGGAGAGCAAGATTTTGTCTAAGTATCAGTCGACACATCTGATTGGCTAAAGAGGGAGGCGCTGCTTATACAATTTGGCATCAGCGGTGTTGCAGAGCTGCCCAAATGAGTCTTGAGTTTGTGATCCTGTTCCATAAGAGGCTCAACTCCTGTTATGTTTCGGAGTTTCTCCCCTGGATAGGTTGCTGTCCCTACTTAACGAACCGTATCTGGCCGGGTGTTTGAATTCTGGATTTTTAAGCCAGCGACCAAGCAATTCCCAACCAAATCACAGCGTCTTATCTTTTCTTGCATAACAATATTCGCATTATAACAACAACAGAGAACAGTTGGCTTTATAAGTTTTCAGTCTTCCACTAAGTGGGCCTTCCCAGCCTTCCTAATTGCGGCCATGACGTTCTTGACTAGGATGGCATCGATGCTGGTTTTGTTCTGGTGTTGGGAGAACGAGTTAAATGTTACGCCCGGCTTGCGTTCAAATATGTGAAAAGCTGAAATAAAATTATTTATTTTAAACTCAAAGAAAGATAAAGAACAATATTATACTTCTATGCTATATCGAAAGAAAGGGCGCCTGGAAGCGGAGTCTTCTCGAAGAACTGAAGCCAACAGGGATGTCTTGGGCGATAGCTAAATTAATAGCCGGGGATAAGATGAAATGGATGGAAATGAGGGAGGCTCTATGTTCCATAAGGAGCAAAGAGGCCTAAGTCAACTAAGTAAGTCAAGTCTATGATCTATCAATGCATATATATATATATATATATATATATATATATATATATATATATACAAATATATATATACATATATATATATATATATATATATATATATATATATATATATATATATATATATATATATATATATATATATATATATATATATATATATATATATATATATATATATATATATATGTTGCCTGTGTGTGTTTGTGTGTGATAACTTGTCAAATGTAATTGTTAAAACATTATATATATATATATATATATATATATATATATATATATATATATATATATGTTGCCTGTGTGTGTGTTTGTGTGTGATAACTGGTCTTATGTAATTGTTAAAACATTATTCTACTTGAAACTATAAACCAACCATTAGCCTCCTGTATATTGACACGGGTAGTTGGCCGTAGATCGCCAATGACCCGCTGAAAATCGTCGTGCCATGCAGGGTGGCATATGCCCTTAAAACATCCAACCTGTGAAGATATAAACATAAATTTCCTTTTTTTTAAAAATTAGCATCCCTTTACTAGTTAAAATAATCACATGGTCATTTTATTCTTACAATATTTTATTAAAGCTTAAGTAAGATTTTTTACCATTTTAATTTATAATTTGCCTATTTAAAAACACGAAGTTAGTCATTGTGTATGCTTTTAAGATTTAGAGAGTACTTCTGTTTAAAAATAAGTACAACTTTAAAGTCTTTTAATAGTGTACATGTTTTATTTTTTATCTGTTAAGCATTTCATTTAAGGTTCTAGTTATCCCACATGTTATGTTGACTTAGTTATAGGAGTATTCATATTTGGTAAAAAGAAAGCTGTTTACAATACGTACAACGCTGGGTAATTTAGCTAGTACTCAATAAAAAGCAATTTCATACCTGTAGTCTGTTGTCAATGTGAAAACTTTCTGGATATTTTTCGTAGATCTTGTAATACATGTAACATGAGTTCAGTGCCCAAAGGTCGTCACGAAAATACCTTATCCAATGATGGATATAAACGAGTTAAAGAAATCATGTAAGCTTTTTTTTTTCTATTAGATAATTTAACTTTTCTGTTATCAAGAAAAACTGTTTTTAGCTAACCTACATTATTTTTTCATTGTTTGATTTTACAACGGCGAATACTATTAGGTACATTTAAAAATTTACAAATAAAAGTTCACCAATTTAAATTATCAATTTAAAATAAAATCAAGAGCCCGTAAATATAGAATATAATCTCCATAATGGCATCAGTTACTAAACATTAAACTTTTGTACTGTAACAAGTAGCAAAAATTGCCGTACAGCAAGAAAAAAAAGTACACTTGTTTAAATTGTAAATATCATTTTATTGTTTCCCTTTACTTGTAAATATTTTTTTTTATTCAACTTTGTTTGAATAGACTAACATAGCTGATTACGTACATAGATATTCAGACCTATTTGGGGCGGGGGGAGTACTGCACGCCCACCCTCCCACCCCACCCTCTAAGGGCCGTACACCGCCTCTCGTACAATAGGGAAAAAACAAAAAATTGAAATAAAATATATAATTTTTGACCAGTGTCCCCCACCTAAGATATTTAAGTGTACCCTCCACACAGATTTTCAAGTGCCAAACCCTTGAGAAAAATATGTCTGAAAGAAAAACTAGATATCACTTTATTTTATTACTGATATGATCAGAGGCGTAGCGACCCCTCCCTGCGCCCTGGTACAAACTTTCAATTTGGTGCCCCCCCCCCCCCCCCCTCATATATTTTTTAAAAATATCTATAATTCAAAAGAGCAGCTAAAATGAGTGTATTTTGGAGCCCCTTGGGGTCGGCGCACGGGGACATGCGTACCCCCCCCTACCCGTCGCTACGCCTCTGGATATAACAACAGTAGCACGTAATCTTACTTGAAAGTCTCGAGCATTTTTGACAAGAATAAAGCTTTAGGCCTGGCCACGATCAGCCCATTGTTGATGGTCCTGGGCCACACGTCTCGTTGTTGCCAGTCGTAGCTCCCCAGCACTGGGTGACGTCTCTGGTCTTCAGACAGCGGCTTCACCCAGATCACGTCATTGTCCTTGAACAAATGTTCATACATTAAAACGTGGTACGACGTGGTCGGGTCGTAGAGCGCTCGACTGATAAACAGAATGTCCTGAGTTCAAATCTCGGCGCAGAACTAAGTCTTAGTATATTTATATAAAAAACCTAAATTGTATGTTCCTCTATAAACCTAAATTATATGTTCCACCATAAACCTAGATTGTATGGTCCACCAAAATCCTACTGAGTATATTCATCCAAAACCTACCTTGTATGTTCCTCTATAAACCTACATTGAGTGTTCCCCAAAATACCTACATTGCATGTTCCCCAAAGTACCTACATTGTATGTTCCCCAAAATACCTACATTGCATGTTTCCCAAAATACCTACATTATGTTCCCCAAAATACCTACATTGCATGTTCCCCAAAGTACCTACATTGTATGCTCCCCAAAATACCTATATTGCATGTTTCCCAAAATACCTACATTGTATGTTCCCCAAAATACCTACATTGCATGTTCCCCAAAGTACCTACATTGCATGTTTCCCAAAATACCTACATTGTATGTTCCCCAAAATAACTACTTTGTATGTTACCAAAAATACCTACATTGTATGTTCCCCGAAATACCTACATTGCATGTTCCCCAAAATACCTACATTGTATGTCCCCCCATATTTGTAGAGAATCTGTACTCTGAGTATATCTGACTTGTGCTCCATGACATTTATATCTTGTTGAAACACGGAGTAAGGCTGGTCAACCTACAAAAGTAGGGGAAGCAACTAGAGACATTGTTCTATTTACACATTAAATTTTATAGGGACTGAAACTGTGTACATTTGAGCGTATATTTTTAAGTTAGCGTCTAAATTTAATGTTACTAAACTTGCCAATATTTAATTATATGAGACGGCGTGGCATAGCGATAGAGAGCTAGACTGCTATTTCGAGTTCAAATCAGTGGAGCGTACTTGAGTCCACCCAGCTCTGATGGGTATATAACTTACGTTAGGGAAACAAAAGCGGCTGGGCATAGTGCTGACCACGCAATCTCTCCATGTCGAGGTATCTGAAGCAGATGAACTCTACTTCATCTGCCAAACACATGTTGATTAATATTTCACTCTACTATTTATAAGTCGACCGCTTAAACATTTTAAGTGATTTTATTTTAAAGTTGCAAACCTTAAGTTAATAAGGTTAAATATTTCTAATCATTTGAAGTAGGAATAAATAGAACTTGAAGATGTTCTAAATATTAACTACAAAACTGGATTGTAGTGTTAGGCTGGAAAATGTACTACATGTAACAATCTACTACTTATATGTAAGATGGTAGTCCTGTGTCATGTTTTTGTGTGTTGTTCGTATCGGGCTTGTGAGTAGATGAATTTATTTCCATGGTATTTCATGTTAACAAAGTAAAAATATTTTTCTTGAAATCAAATTCGTATGCTAGCAGTTTTTTGTTTTAACTTGAAAATTACAGGTTACGGGCGGTTATTAGGTTAATATATAGACCTATATAGCATAAAAAAAAAAACTTACATAAACAAACGTGACGTTTTCGCTTTTCAACCTGTCCCAAAATTTACCTGACGGCTCTGTGTCACCGTGTACGTACACTCTGTGGGTTTTTAAAGGTAATCATGACGGTAATGTTTTTATGACAGTCAAGTTAGGATACCATACATTTAATTCGATCTAAAGTTGTGTAATATGTGTGTGTGTATGTAACGAATTTGTAACAGTTACCACTTTGTAACATAATTTAGTAAATTATTTTTTTGGATCCACGGTTTAATTTGAGAACCGGTTTTAAGACTAAAATGTTATGGAATGTTCTTGTAACTTTAAAATTATAGAACCAATAACGTTATAACCTGGTGCTGAATTTATTTTATTTAGGCAGTAAAATGTACCTTTACCGACAACTAAAACTGCAGTAAAAGTGAAGTCTCAATGAATATAAAATACAGTGAATTAAAAATAAAAGCTTCAGCTAAGTTAAAATAATACTAATAAAATGTTTATAAAAATGAAAACAGTTATTGTTTACAAATAACTAAATTCATCGAATTGTATAGTTGTATCTAGATACGTTATAGAAAAATTATCTAGATACACATGCATTTTTTTCTTGCATTATATTATTACATAAAAACATGAAATGCAAAGAAGTGAGTCCAGATGAATCCCACCAAGCAAGTGAACATATGTCAAACTAATCAACATACATAAACTCCATACACAACATACACATAAACTCTCACGTCAACACTTCATAAGATCCAATCACCTGCCATTGTAATTAGAAGAGCTCATCTGTAAAAGCCAAAGCTATATCAAAACCTACCTTTCAAAACCGCCTAAATATAAGGAAGAAATGATGTTGACGTAATTCTCGAAGCTCCAAACGATCGGTTGCCCAGGATTTTTATTGAGGTAGATCACGTGATTGATGAGTGGAACCAACTCAGGCGTGTCCTGGGGTTTCAAGAATGCAGGTTAATGCTCAGGTTAAGTTACATGTTATAGGCTAACTACTACAGATGCTTCGTTATACTAGCGTATCAACTCACACACATTATATATATATATATATATATATATATATATATATATATATATATATATATATATATATATATTTATATTTATATATAGGCCTATATGCTATATATTATATCAAATAAGCGATGAAAATGTATAAAGAAAAAAAATGTTAAATATAGGTCTTGGAATATAAAAAAAATTAAAATTATTTTAGATGAAATAAATGTATTACTGTTAAAATTTTATAAATGTGTATTATTCATGTAGATCGGAAAAAGGAAAAGAAAAATAATTCTTATAGGTCAAGAAATATAAAATATATACATTTTTTGCTTACATACAAGTATATTTATTCATTATGTCATTAAAAGTTGAATTCCGCTACTTCAGGTGACAACTTTTGAAAAAAAAACAAAAAAGTCTTTTCATTGGAGACAATAATCGGTTACGAAAATTAAAGCTAATAGAGGGTGAATAATAAAAGCCTAGATAGCTACTTTTAATCAAAATCGTTTGTTTTAAGAAAAACTTACTATAGTTTGTTGTGTATCACTGTAACACAGCCATCTCAAAAAGGCGTTTTGTGGAGACGAGCTGTTTAAGATGTTCTCTGGAAATATTGGAGTCGGTAACACAACACACGGTGACGTCATGGTACCGACATTATCTGAACTTTGACCCTCGTTATCAAACTGCTCGGGAGTGTAGCATTCGATCGTTTGGTTTAAGACACTATTTTTAAATAGTTTGATATCAGATTCATTTTTCCCATCAATTCCTTGTTTGACATTGACAAACACTATCATATCTTCACTGCTAGAACTACCCTGTTTTTGATACGTGAAATATTTCCCAGTCTTCCATGTGTCAGGGACATGCGTCAACACGGCCCTCTCACCTACATAGAAACCCCCAACTTTGTTTGATGCCATTTGTTCCAGAGCAACGTCCACGGCGTCCATTGTGTTGCATTGAATTGGTCTGTTAATTTTCCTAAAAATCAAATTAGCCAAAGACTGTTTTAATTCTGGGAACCAAGAATGATAAAAACTTCCATCTGTCTTAGGAAGGCTGTTATAGTAGAAGAATATTCTCAACGGTTCAAAAACTTTGACGATGCTCAGCACCCCCAAGTATTCTCTAAATGTGAAGATTTTATCCCCGCACCAAACATAATGTGCTGTTGTAGGGATCTCTCCTGGTATAGACTGCTTAATGTGAGGACCCTTTAGTATATCTCTAACCATTTCAAACTTTTTAAACTCTTGATGGTTTTTTAAATCTACAGTCATTTTTAACACTTTAAGAACATGATCGCTGGAATTTTCAAGTTGTATTGTGGCTCTAGGCTTGTTTTCATAATCGTTGCAGCTTTGTTTAATCCAAATTACACTTAATATAACAGTGAGCAGGGCTACACCAGTCAATGTAAGAAAATTCCTAATTCGTTGATTCAACATTGTATATCCGTCTAAAATTATTCTGAAAATGGAAATACATTACATTAACTATACTTGCACATTGTAAAAGTAATAATTAGTTACTTCTTATCTCAATGTGTAATACTTAATTAAATTGAAAATGTAATTAAAGTTATTAGGGTATAACTGAAACAAAACATGTTTATCCACATACTATCTTGATTTTTTAAAGTAATAATTATGCTTTCTGAAATTTTATGGTTTTTAGGCGAATAGAACTCGATACTTTTTTCGGATTAGCTGCCAATAGCTTTACTGACTCTACCACGATGAGCCTTCCCCGAACGATTGTTTCATTTATATTTATATTTAATTTATATAGTTTATTAGTAAGTACTTACAGTATAAAATAAATATTTCACCGAAGCACACAAACTAGAAAGCATATGCCTTCATATACGCAAGGACAACAACAGAGACGATAAAGGAAGATCTAGCGCACCATTTGTGTCACACATCTGCTGCCGTTTAACGGTTTTTTTCTATCCACAATTACACAGTCAGATTACACCGTGTTTAACACAGTCAGATTACATCGTGTTTAAAACAGTCAGATTACACCGTGTTTAAAATAGTTCAGTGTGTTTTCATAGGGAGCTTTTTCTTGATAAGTTAGCTTATGATTAATAACTCCAGAAACCCGAGTTCGAATCCCCTAGAAGAAGCTAGTTGGTTAGGGATAGCAACTAGCCGCCCTTTGAAAGCAACAATTCTAGTTGAAAAAAAAAATCAAAATCGATTTACTTGCACATTATTTGTGTATCGACAAAGGCTATGAAAGCTAATCCAAAAAGAAAATTAGGCTGAAATTTGAACTAATGGTTCACAAAAAGCATAATGCGTTGAAACATAAAACATACTTGTGTTGGGGAAATCCTTGATATTACAAAATGGAAAGTATACGTACATTCTGATAACAGAGAACTGGTCTGTTTTGGTATAAAATGATATTCCCTTAAATTACAAGTTTTCCCTTGGAAACTGTTATAATCATTATAATGCAACTTATAAATATCGTTTTCAACAGTACGATGGTTATGTGCAATTTTTGACAGCATTATCTTGTCATCTTAGATTGAAAAGTTGAAATTAGATGGATAGACAATAGCCTAAGAGAGAAAAGCCCAATTCAAATCTATTTTATCTATAACGAGCCGACCCGCTGCGTATCATACGCCGCTATTTAGTTGCTGTTTTTTTCTACTGTTCAGTAATTTATAATTTGTGAATTCGACAGAACCAATGCTGCCACTGAAAATATTTGCTTAAAAACACTAAACCCTCATTTCCCCCCCCCCCCCCCCACGTGAAAGCAGCCTCCTCTTAGTTACCTCCTCTAAGTTTAAAATAGTTTCAAACTAAATTATCTGCCCCTAATAGCCGTCACCAAACCCGACTCTACGATTGTAAAATGTAAACAGCGTGAACCACAGCTCACCAGATAATGTGAGGGGGTGGGGGGGTGGTAGCGATAGAGAGGAAAAGAGGGGACTGTAAGGCGCGCTTGCAGCTTGTTTTCTAAAGGCTCCCAGAAGAGAATTATATATATAGATTATGTGGAAACAATAAGTTAGTATGATCAAAAATTCTTTCATTGTGTCAAGCTGTTTCATATAATTTATTATATTAGACCATATATTGGTGATAAAAATTGCGTGGGTTGAATTGATATTAATTTATTGATTTCACTGTCATCTCGCAAGAGAAACAAAGACAAAAACAAGGTAGTTCAATAGTTTTAATGAAACATCAGTCAGTTAGCCTACATCTGTTACATTTTAGTAGAGACAAAAAATCAATCGCCAAGACTTAAAATTAATGAAGAAAATACGAACTAACTGATTCTATTTTCAGTCAATGTACTCTCGTAGAAAAATAATTTAGCGCAATGCTTATTAGTTTGTCACATTTAACCATTAAAATATATTATAATTTAAAATCAGTCAATATAGATTTAATTACATTTACAAATTATTCGAGATGACATTTATAGATCAATCAAACAAATATCGATCCTACAAAACCAATCCGCTGTTTACTAAGTTAAATAGAAATTACTAGAACAGAACAAAAGACAGATCTTATCGGAACAAAACAAAAAAAAAATAACATAAGTTGTAGTAACAATTTTTAAATGGTAAAATTTCTTTTTAACACAACTATTAACATGGCATAAACATAGAACGATATGTCTTATAGATACTTAATAGAGAATTAGAGAAAGTATTCATAATATACTTGTTTAAAAAGTGCCAAAACAAAAACCAAACGCAAACTTAACCGCAAATACAAACGCAAACTCATACATAAACGCAAACACAAACGCAAACAAAAAAAATTTAACAAAATGTGTGCTTGAGCTAATAATATCATAGCGTAGATGATTGATTTGTTTTTCCTATACTTTATATAATTTTAGTAGTTAGATTGCTGAAGTATAAGTTAATAGTATCTTAGATGGGATAATTTTGAGTAGGGGTAGGCTCCAGAAATAATAAAATCATCTTCTTAATTAATAAGCTTTATTTATCTATTTGTGTTTATCGAAGTTATATTACTTAAAAACTCTAGAAATAATTTGTTTTATCTTAAAATTTGGTATGGTGAAATATTATTAAAATGAATTGCAAAATTGAATGGTATTTCACCATACAACATTTGAAAAAAATCAAATAAAAAAATATTTCTCGATTGTTTATTAGTGGAAAAACTAGCAAGCTGACTGTGTTAGATAGTAAAAGAAGGATCAATGATTTATGATCAGTACATAAGTTATGTCATGAACCTAGAATCTTCCACAAAGTTAGTTTGTTCAAGATGGTCGCCGTTTCCGTGGCAATCATTATGTTAAGAACAGTCCCTGATGCATGAAAATATTATGCCTTAAGAACCCTAACTTAAATACACAAAAACATAGCAAATGCTTATTAGTTAAAACATATATTTTTCCCCCTTTTTCCCGGAGCCTACACTTTTAAATTCGTTTTGCATTTCATATGAGTTGTGTTCAATACCTAACGTCTTATCTGTGCTAAAAGTTTATTCACATAGTACTGGGACAGCTTGAATTCAACTTAAGGCCATGACCTAAATCTTTACGCCACAAAAACAAAGAGATCAGTCGATCCGCTTTTTGTTTAGTACTTTTAGGGGAGAGGGGTGGGGGATGGGGTGGGGTGGGGGTCGTGGTGGAGAGGGAAGTGGGGGGGGGGGGTCGATCATAAAAACTGTTGTATGTCATTAGGGAATGGTCTATATAAAAGTTACATACAGTCTTATTACGTTTAAGCCCGACATCATACAAGTTTTCGACAACTAATTTTTTCCCCCAACTTGAATGGGTTTACCAGAGGCGTAGCGACCCTTCCAGGCGCCCGGGGACAAACTTTCAATTCGGCGCCCCCCTCGGGAGCATCCTGTAATTTTCTCGATTTGCACCCTCCCTTCAAACTTTCAATTTGTACCCCTTCCTCAAACTTAATATTTGCACCCATTTTGGCGCCCCCTAAGGTCGGCGCCCGGGGACGTATGTACCCCCGCCCCCCTCGCTACGCCTCTGGGGTTTACCACTAATTAGGATAGTAAAGCCATTTAGTTATCTAACCTGAACGTTTCCAACCACCACAGCCAACTTTTATTCTTTTATTGCGATTTGATATATGGTACCCCCTCATCCGTCACATTTGCATATGCTATGTGGACAGCAGCTATCTTCTAGCGTGTGTTAAGTCTTTTATTGCCCACTACACACTATACACTGTACGTCAATCAATCAATAGGTCATACTCTCGTGTTACACGCTGTTGTGGTGACTTTTTTGTTTCATTTTTTCTAAAAAATAAGTTGAAGAAGTGTTGTTTTCTGACACGTAAAATTTCACATATTCAGGCATACTCGTAAAAATAATGAATTAGAAGAGTTTTATTGAAATGATAGACCAATCATATTGCTGAACAATAAATCAAAACAATTTTCGATAGGTTGACGACTACCCACATTAGGCTGGGTTGCCATCATTTTACTATACATACAAACAATCGCCTCTCGTGGTCGAGTCGGTAGAGCTCATGGTTGCTAAACCGAAAAGTCTCGAGTTCGAACCCTCGGGTAGATGAGGCTCGTTAGCTGGGGACAGCCACTCTTCTAGAAGAGACAACTCAAAAATCAAACAACTGCTGCCTTGTAGTTGGACATAGGCTATGGAAGCAAATCCAAAAAGAAAAGTAGGCTGAAATCGGAGTCAATGGCCTCAATGGCGCATAACCAGTTGACACGTATACTTAATTATGATGGAGGCGTGGTCGAGTCGGCAAAACCTCATGGTTGTTAAAATTCGAAAAAAAAAATTCTCGAGTTCGAAACCTCTGGTAGATAAGGCTTTCTTCATCTCAACACTAAACATTCAGAAAGAAGAAGTTTGTAGCACCATTATTACGTTTTAAGTTGAAACAATGCTTAAGTTTAAATAATGAACGATTACTCTTTCTTCTTTTCTCTTGCGCTTGTTATAACTTGTTATACGATTATGTGTTTAGCTTGAATGGGTATACTTTATTGCCATGAAACCGTAAACAACACATGTGTTAGTGTGTAAGCCCTTAGTTCCGTGTAGAGTAAACAAGCAACTCATCTAGATACGAGATGGAATGTTATGAAGCATTCACGCAATACAACCCTAACAACATGGATGGGTTATTCACGGTTAAATGATCATTTATTATTAACGAGCCGGCCCGCGGCGTAACATACGCCACTATTTAGTTTTTTTTTTTTTCTACTTTTCAGTGATTCATAATTTGTGAATTCGACGGTACCAACGCTGCCACTGAAAATATTTCTTTAAAACACTTCAAGTAGCACGTTAAGGACCATAACCCCCCCCCCCCCCCTTCCTCCCCCCCTACTTTTAAAATCGTTTCAAACTAAATTATCTGCCCCTAATAGTCGTCACTAAACCCGGCTCTGCTTGTAAACATTTAGAGTGAACACAGCTCACTAAGACCATGTAGGGGTGGGGGTGGTAGGGAGCGCGTTTACAGCTTGTTTTCTAGCGTCTCCCAGAAGAGAATTATATATATATAGATGCATTATTGGAATCTTCACGCATCAGTACCAGCAAGCTGAGGGGGGGGGGAAAGGGGGTGGCGTGTCGGGGTGTTTCTAGCTTCAAGAGTTGAAAACAGGAATTGGTAGTAGAATATTATCGAGAGTCAATAACCTTGTGTAAATTGAAATATAGTGATAGGTAGTGTATTTATATGAGGAGACCGGCTAACAAACATATTACTTAATTTGTTCAGTTAATAGTTGCTCTTAGAATACATGCTATTTGTTTCAATTACGGAAAGAACACGAAACTAAAGGCGTCATCTTCCATGATGAATAGTCATTAACACGTTCATTCTCGTATACATCATTTCTATTGATATAAAAGACTATCTGAAAATTACAACTAAAATCAACATGTTTTTTTTTTGTTACGTGGCTCTTTCACATAAACAAGATGCTATTTTTATTGTTTTTTGTAAGAGGAACCATACAGTGCCAGTTTCTACAATCCTCTTTTTTAAAAGTTTTCTCAATTCTGCATTTTTACTCAAAATTCAAAAATAAAATCGCTAAGGCTCTAGAACCAGTTGTTATACAAGACTGAAACGTTCCCTTGCATTTATCAATATACCATCTACAAAACAACGTGTGTACATTTCGTTTACTAGAATACTTAAGGAAATAATGATATTTATGTAGCAACACCCCCTAATTTATGTGCATAGTTGTACGTACAAATGTGTATAAAAAATTGAATACAAGCTAGCACGATGCAAAAATGTTAAGATGTAAAGGTTGATTTGATAAAACTAAATCTTTCATCAGATTTTTAAAATCTGTTTTAGGAACAAAAGAGATTAAGGCTTATATTACGGGAAATATATTCCATATGTATAATGTCATACAATATACTTTTTTCATGTTTGAGATTAGGTACAAGGTAGAGGGGTATGGCTACTACTATATTTAGTATTAATCGGCAGTCACTATGTGTAGATCAAGCTTAAATTCGATTAAAATGTCGATTCTGGATAAAAATCCATTTTCAATTGTTTTTAAATTTGAAGTTGAGGTGGTGCTTTTGCTGTTGGTTTTGAATTAGAGAACAAGCCAACAATATCAACCTAAAGTCCGCTGTATTTATCCCACAACGGGCCATTCAACTGGTGTATAATATTTAAACAAACTCTGTACTTACCGTATTTTTAGCTACAATAAAATTCCATCGATATTTTATCTAAAACATTGTCTCCAACCATACACACGTGTGGCTAATAATTAAGTTGAAATGATGACTGTTTTAAACGCAGTCTTGTGATTAAAATGTGTCGTAAAAGTGGGTGGGGTCTAGCAGACGACTATGGTTGCTGGCAAGGAAGACGGCGGCCTGTGAGCTTGAACACATCGGTATTTTTTTGTTCGGGGGCTGTGTTGATCGAAGAGAGGTGGATCACGTATTGGATTAACGAGGGGACTGGCGTATTGGATTAACGAGGGGAATGGCGTATTGGATTAACGAGGGGAATGGCGTATTGGATAAACGAGGGGACTGGCGTATTGGATTAACGAGGGGACTGGCGTATTGGATTACCGAGGGAAATGGTGTATTGGATTAACGAGGGGAATGGTTATTGGATTAACGAGAGGAATGGCGTATTTGATTAACGAGGGGAATGGCGTGTTGGATTAACGAGGGGATTGGCGTATTGGATTAACAAGGGGAATGGCGTATTTGATTAACAAGGGGAATGGCGTATTGGATTAACGAGGGGAATGGCGTATTCGATTAAGGAGAGGAATGGTGTATTGGATTAACGAGGGGCATGGCGTATTGGATTAACGAGGTGAATGGCGTATTGTATTAACGAGGGGAATGGCGTATTGTATTAACGAGGGGAAAGGCGTATAGGATTAACGAGGTGAATGGCGTATTGGATTAACGAGTTGAATGGCGTATTGGATTAACGAGGCGAATGGCGTATTGGATTAACGAGGTGAATGGCGTATTTGATTAACGAGGTGAATAGCGGATTGGATTAACGAGGGGAATGGCGTATTGGATTAACGAGGTGAATGGCGTATTGGATTAACGAGGGGAATGGCGTATAGGATTAACGAGAGGAATGGCGTATTGGATTAATGAGGGGAATGGCGTATTGGATTAACGAGGTGAATGGCGGATTGGATTAACGAGAGGAATAGCGTATTGGATTAACGAGGGGAATGGCGTATTGGATTAACGAGGGGAATGTCGTATTGGATTAACGAGAGGAATGGCGTATTGGATTAATGAGGGGAATGGCGTATTGGATTAACGAGGGGAATGGCGTATTGGATTAACGAGGGGAATGGCGTATTGGATTAACGAGGGGAATTGCGTATTGGATTAACGAGGTGAATGGCGTATTGGATTAACGAGGGGAATGGCGTATAGGATTAACGAGGTGAATGGCGTATTGGATTAACAAGGTGAATGGCGTATTGGATTAACGAGGGGAATAGCGTATTGGATTAACGAGGGGAATGGCGTATAGGATTAACGAGGGGAATAGCGGATGGAAGCGCGGAGGGGGAATCTGGAAAAACAAAACATCGAATGTTAAATATCACAATTTAACATACACGTTTAGAAGTTATCCTTCAATCAAATAAAAACTAAAATGACTTTCAAATATGTTCTAAATTCGTTGCACAAAAGTCAAAACAATTCTTAATAATACAACAAGACTAATGATGGGTTTCTATTTTCTAATTCCAAACACGTGATTCTTTCCAACAAGGCATAAAAACTATTCATTTTCTGATGGTTTCAAACAGATTTTATTTCCTTCATTGCTAGGCTGTCTTTTTAAATGAAAACATGTAAAACACTAAAAGAGATGGTTGCTCAAATATATGTAATACAGTTACAATAACGGGGAGGTTGAGGTATATCTGTTGTACAGCGTTAAAGTACGTATTGCAGTTAAAATATTTGTATTAGATAAAAATATTGCAACTGTTGTCGAGTGAGAAAATAGAATTTTAAACATCTGTGACAAAGACTTGCCTGTCTTGGCGTAGGGGGTATAAAAATATCTACCCAGGGTAACCTAAACCTCTGTGTTTTTGTGTGTGCTGCAGTGGCGTAGGCAGGGGGGTTAGGGGGGGGGGGGGGGTTTAGGGGGGGTCACAACCCCCCCCATAGACCCCTCGGTATATATATATATAAAGTATGAGGGAGTTTAAATCGAAAGTTTGAGGGGGGATGCAAATCGAAAGTTTGAGAGGAGAGTGGTGCAAATTGAAAGTTTGTCCCCGGGTAAAAATTGGAACCCCCCACCCCCCCCTTGAGACGATCCTGGCTACGCCACTGGTGTGCTGTGTGTGTCCGTGTGTGTGTCCGTGTGTGTGTGCGTCAAATGCGGGTTTGGTGTTAGCAGGACCAGAACTTTGCACAAATGTGTAACTAAAGATTAAAGAATTGAACTGGCTTTTTTTTTTTAATTAATTAATTTATTTAGTTATTTTTTTTTTAAATTGAAGATTGTTGGATAATAGTTATGTTTTCTCTTTTTAATACGTTTTCAGAATTATACTAAAGATAAATTTCAATTTCATACAATGTCATTTATTTGCACCGTTGAGGTCTGTAGATTTTCAAGAAAAAAAATCAACATTAACATCCCTTCCTTGAAATGTTTTCTGAAGCTTTTTTAAGGGGCTATCATCTTCATTCATCTTTATCATTATCGTCATCATTATCGTTATTCATCATCATCTTTATAAGCGTTCTTTTTAATCATTATCGTCATTCATCTTCATCAGTATCGCCATCCATCTTCATTTTTATCGTCATTCATTTTCATCATTATCGTCATTCATCGTCATCATTATCATTATTCATCTTCATCATTCGCGTGAATTGTTTGTGAAGCATATTGACGCAACCAATTATCTCTAGGTTTTGGGCAATTCCTACGTCTGGCCCGGGGGTCGTCTATAAATGACATCACACCCATAGGGGGGAAGTAGGTACGTACTTTTGTTACGATGTGTGATGAGGGGGAGGGGGGAGGGGGTCACACAGTGCAAAGCCACACTGCCTCATTTAAAAAAAAAATTAACGTTAGCAGCTGAACTGTAGTCGTTATTTCGAGTTTTAGAAAAATGTTTTGGTGTAAATTGCAATAGAAATTGAAAAACAAATCATCTCTGTTGACGGAGTTGAGTCAATATTTTAGAGATAAAGTGATGTGTTTAAAAAATACTATTTTCAGGGGAGGGGAGATGGATTGTAGTTGTGGCGTCGTTTTATAGGGGGGGGGGGTGTAGGTAACTGGTTTTTGTGTGGAGTTAAAAACGCCAAAAAAGTATGACGTCATTTATGAATTATGAATACACTTCCCCACTCCCTCCCCCACCTAACAGTCCCCCTGTGTTATTTACCAGTTATTGTTTTTAATTCTACAATACATTTATTCTTGCAACTAGTATGTCGACTCTACAAACACACCGGCAACTTGTAGTTCGTGTTGCTAATATAATTAACGAATGTGAAAAAGCTTGACACAGCGTTCATAGCGTTACATTATGATCTACGGGGTAGAAGTTTCTTCATGGTCTGCGCGTTTTTTTTTGGTAGGATACTGCATGCAAAAGATAGCTATAACCAATATTCCGGCTTTCTAAACACACACTAGGCCCCTCGAAAAATATTCTCCCCCAGGGATAGCCGGGCTTACAAAAACTCAACCACCACCCTGAACCCGTTAGAAACCTGTTTCTTGTATGTCAATGTCAGTGTCACGCTTGAACGACCAGCACTTTATACCTAGTTGCACATGAAACGGTGACACAAAAAAATGGTGTTTTTGTCCAAGATCTGTGCTGCATTTCCAGGTCACATGAATACAGTTAAGGTAATCATACTAAATAGTAATGTGTCCATGAGTGTTCAGTATTTTTGAAATTATGATGCTTTTCACATGCTGATAATGGTCTTACGTTTGATTCAGTGTAGAGATTTTCTTTTATACATAAATACTCATTACACGTATTTTATTATTTTTGTTCATGATTTTTCACTGTTTCTATATTTTCAGATTGCTATATCTGATTTGGCGTTAAGTTTATACGCCGCGATAGTTTTTAATGTTTAGTAAGCTTGTTTTGTACTTATATTTCGATAGATATAATATAGAGTAGTGTTGTTGTTTTTTTAAGTTCAACCTTTGCAACTGGAACCATATTTTGTTTTTGTAATAAATTTACGTTTAGATGATTATCTTTTTTCTTAAAAACATAGATTAAGGTTAGAATTAACTGCCATGATTTTAGCCACGGTTGCATCTATGCCTAAAAGTTTATAAACCTCTTTCGTATAGAAGGTTCTCCCCCCAGCCCCCACCTCCCCATTTATAGACCTTACACTTTCTAGCGTAGCTAAAGTGTTACCAGAGGTTATATATTATTATAATGTATTTTCACCAGAACTGTGGTCTCCTTCATGCAATGTGTAAATACATTAAGTAGTGACGTCAAAACTGAGGTCTGAGTTCATATGTAAAATATAGCATCAACACATGAAATAATGTATGTGGTCAGCGCGACGTCCAAAGTGGCGTTCTACAGATTCCAGCCTTCGGATTCAAACTTGAGGCTTTTGCTCTAACACTGAACCATGATGACCACAATCCTGAGTCTTACACTACCTGATCCATTCACGCGTGAAGTATTGGCCTACTTTACTGTTTTCTAAAGTACAAAAGTATATGTTGTGATTCTATATCTGGAGGCTGTACGGTTGGGTTAGTTTCATGTGTGGCTCTCATCATGCAGAAAGGTTGCCGCTGCCGGATTACAAAGAGTCCAAAAGGTGTATTGAAGGCCCAGTGGTGTAGCTTTATCAGGCCCCCGTCAACTTAACGTTGAAGCTGGAGTGTTAGTATTAATAAGCATTAGACTTCGAGTTGTGTCTTTTTAATGTCTTACTATTATTAACTTTCCGTCGCTCGGTCGATTTTCATAATGTATCACCTATTATATTATTAGGGTATGCGATGAGTATTGTATCATTGTAAAGTAAAGTTGTAATATGAAAGCATATTGAATAAAAAGACGAATTGAAATTATAATTATTTGATTAAAAAATAAATCGAGAGTTATCTCCCCTAAACTTTTGAATATTCTTTTATAATACTACGGGGGAAGGAGACTCAAGATAAAGTCATAATTTTTAATCAGTTTTTTACTACTTAAACTTTTAAAAATTTAATAGTGTATTATAGAAAAAAAGAATTGCGCACCAAGTGAACGGTAAACAATGTATGTATAGTAGTGCGGAATACTAACACTAACAGGAAAATTATCCAACTCAGAAGTACTGAAAAAAACAGCACCTACATATAACACAAATACCATCATACAAACTAACAAAAACATAAACAACTTAACATTGCAGAACGTATTATAAAGACCACAGATATTTTAACACAATGTGAGACATTTTGAATGAGTCCTAGGTGTGACAGTTAACTAATCTATCAAGAATCAAGAACATTTCTAAAAGGTCTCAAAAAATTCCTCTAGAATGGAATGTTTAAACCTCTCTTATTTCTAACTTTCCGCTTTTAATTTTCTAAACCTCTAAATAAAAACATAAACAATATTCTTAAACATTATTTTGGTTATCGTTTTCATACACGACTAACACAAATACACAGTAATAGGAACTCAATCTTGATCAATTTTCAATCGATTATTGGCTTGGATAAAAAAAAAATCGTTATAGCTATCGGGCTTGTTAAAAACGCAATAGCCTTTATCTGCATCTAATTCTTCGTTTCCTTTAACACAGTCGAGGCCCGGCACAATGTACCTAGCATTCCGAGATAATCAATGACAGCTTTTACACTGTTCTTCGCGAGTTTTTTGGCACGCTACTATACGTTTTTTATTACAACCAGTTGGTCGATTCCATTAACTGATCGGTATCTTGTAGGTCCGGCATCTTTTAGGTCCGGCATCTTTTAGGTCCGACACCTTGCAGGTCCGGCACATTTTAGGTCCGGCATGTTGTAGGTACGGCATCTTTTAGGACCGGCATCTTTTAGGTCCGGCATCTTTTAGGTCCGGCATGTTGTAGGTACGGTATCTTTTAGGTCCGGAATGTTGCAGGTCCGGCATCTTTTAGGTCCGGCATGTTGTAGGTCCGGCATCTTGTAGGTCCGGCATGTTGTAGGTCCGGCATCTATTAGGTCCGGCATGTTGTAGGTCCGGCATCTATTAGGTCCGGCATGTTGTAGGTCCGGCATCTTGTAGGTCCGGCATGTTGTAGGTCCGGCATCTATTAGGTCCGGCATCTTTTAGGTCCGGCATGTTGTAGGTCCGGCATGTTGTAGGTCCGACATCTTTTAGGTCGAACTACAAACATAACTAACGAAGGTGAAAAATATGGACATGACTTTACAAGTATCACATAATGATCTTAGAGTTGCCAGTAATATTAAGTTCTTCACAGTTGTATTTTTTTTTCTCCTACATCCAAACATCCTAAGGTACCATCTTCAAGTTCTCTGGTTCAGAAACTAAACACCCTAACCCTCCTACACGAAAACAAAATTATTGATAAACTTAGCTGGTTATGTCTTAAAATGAGATGTCTACGCAGACTCCTCGGGAACCTATACTTCGACCACTAATGAAGTAGTCAGTTGGAAAAAATCACTAATGCGAGTGGTCGCTTTCTTTAATACAATTATTTTACTTAAATTTATTTTAATTATTTCCTGCAAAGATAACATACCACAATCACCGCGTAAAACAGAACTAGGGCTTAAATCAGACGCGCTGCGTAATCTCCCGTAGTCTCTTTGTTTGCTATTATATCCCTGTATGTGTTGAAGAAACAACTAGAGAGGGATCAGCTTTTTACACTGGTTTTATCAGTGCCATAGGCAATATTATAACACGATCAGGTTAAATTGACAATGTGTTTTAGCCTATAGAAATACTGAAATACACGGAAACGGGTTCACACTAAGATTTGTCACGCGAGCACCATATGACATAAACGAACGTGTATCTTCCACCTAGCCCCCACACCCCCCCACCCCACCCCGCACCCCTTCCGAACATCACGCCCCCAACCCAAGCGTTGCCCAAGCGATCTCGTGGTATCTCGAAAAGACGTGTTTTCTCTGTCAAGATAAGCCCAAAGATTATGTTACTGTTTACCTTTTTGACTAATCTTTAAATACCACACCATTGTTTGCTGCGGAAGACCTTGGGTCGAAACCTCGGTTGTACGTATTATTGACTTGAATATATGACAATTCTAACACACCCGTTTTTTTTTTACTATCGAATAACAATAATCTTTAACATTAATCTTTAAATAAATAAACGGAACTATTGAGTTGTGTGCATGCTTTGTTAAATACAACTAATTCAAATATTGAATCGCTAATGTAGGAAAATAACAGAGCTAGCTAACAATCAGATGTTAACAATGTGGAACAATTATCTGTTTAGTGCTAAAACTTTTAAGGACCCAAAATGGAAGGACAAGCATAATTTTCATCTAATTAACACTATCATATTGGTTCTGTGTATACTTAATTCATAATGTTCAGAGTTTCTTCCGCCCCCCCCCCCCCCCCAGGAAAATGTCGATCTAGACAGACAGACAGAGGAAGTGAATTAAATAAAAGCTTGTAACAAACATGATTAAAAATTTTAAAAAAAATTCATGAAAAACGTTTTAATAACAAGGTTTTAAATAATAATGCACTAAAAAGTAGAAAATAAATCATGCACTGCTATTTAAATAACTATAAAGAAAAGCGTGGGTCACTTTAGTATCTATTGGATACCTTTACTAATATTAAGGAAAAGTCCCGCGCTTTTCTTTATAGTTATTTAAATAGTAGTGTATAATTTATTTTCTACTTTTTAATGCATGATTACTTTAATGTTTTTTTTTATTAAAACGTTTTTATGCATTTTTTTTCAGTACTTTAAATGTTTTTTTTAATAACAATAGAGTTGCATGACTAAAAACCGTGCGCACATACTGAACGTGATGACGCGTGTCTAATAGTGCGGAATAGTTTTATGTGACAGCCTACTAATTTGGACACAATTTTAATTAATTTAAAAAAATAATCATGCAATCAATTAAGTCAAATTTAATGTCATATTGCATTGTCTTCATGTCTTAAACCACCTGCCAACGTTGAAACAAATCTGTCAGTTAGAAATGTCCGAAATTTCGATCGGGCGTTTCGATCTAGACAGACAGACTGACGACAGAGGAAGCAAATTAAATAAAAGGTTGTAAAAATTTAATTAAAAAACGTTTTAATAACAAGCTTTTATGTAATGATGTACATGTTCGTAATGTCCCGGGGAGGGGTAAGGGGGAGGTAATTCCTCCGGGAGGCGGATAAATACGGAGGGATTGATATGTCCAAAAGGGAGAAGGGGTAATTGACGGGGGGGGGGGTTATGTCCTGTTCCCACTTTTGTACGTAGGCTGATGTTTGTTAAGTTAAGAGGAACTTGACATTTTCAAGGTATTGTGTGTAGTCCAGTGCGACACCTTAAACAAAAAAAATAGCAGCAACCGCTCTTTGTGATCGTTTGTTACGATTGATTTTTTTCTAATCGTTAATCCACTGAAGCTGCACGTATCGACCTACGATTCTCAACCAAACCGTTTTCCTCTGGCAAATTTGTGTCGTAGACCCCACAAACCCTAACCAAGTTTTACATGGACAATAAAACTGTATTTTTCGCTAAAGATAATCATGGTGCTTACAAAAACGCAAATATATTTTTTATTTTAGCTTCCTTGTATACAGAGTATAGAGCAAAGGCCTAGCGAAGAGGGTGCGGACCGCACCGGGTGACACCATTTAGGGGGGTGACACCAAGGCAAAAAATAGCAAAATATATAGAGAAAAATGATAATTCCACTTAATTAAGTGATTCATTCGAGAGTTAAATAGTGTTTTAAGAGGTGCCAATCTAAAGTTTGAGGTGGGGGTGGAAATTTAAAGTTTGAGGGGGGGGGGGGTGCAAATCGAAAATGTGTCCCCGGGAAGGGTCGCTACGCCTCTGGGGGGTAAAACCATTAAGTGCCGCACTGGGTGACACCCGACCTTGCTACACCACTGGTATAGAGGAAGTATTGTAATCGTGAACAAAATCACATGAAATGTTGGCAGTCCACCTAGCTCATTTTAGGAAAAGTAACGCGGCTGGGCAAAGTGCAGATTACACCATCCTTTCTAGAAACATATGAGCTCTACTCAGGTGTTTTAAATAAATAAATTATAAACATAACCCTCTCTTAATCAAACATCCGACAACTAGAGTATCTTAAGTCATGCTTAAATCCACCCTGTGTAATATTTCGATTGGATGGAGTATGAACTATAAGATAAAACTCCGATTCTTTTTTATCTTCTTAATTCTAGTGCAGTGTTTCTTCCAGACTTTTTTCTCCGAGGGGGCACTTGAAATTTTCAGGGAGGGGGGGGGGGCGATAGACTATTTTCGGGGGGGGGGGGGGGGCGGACACTGTTAAAAGTATATATTTTCTTTCTACAATTTGTTTTGTTCGGGGGCGGTAGACTTTCTTCTGGAAAGTTCTAGTGTTGGAAGGGATTTTCCTTACACAATCAAGTACAACGTGTCAACTTGTTATACACCATAAAAGCTGTTGACTCCGATTTCAGCCTGCTTTTCCTTTCGGTTTTGCTTCCATTGCCTTTATTAAACCAAGAATAAACTTCAAGGCAGCATTGTTTGATCATGTAGCAAAATCGAAAGACAAACAATTGAAAGTTTACAACACAAATTAAACCAAAAAAGAAATTAAACATAAAAGAGGGTGATTAATATGCATATTTAATTTCAAAATTCAACTAAAAGTGTGAATTATATGTATACTCTTTCTTAATGCAAGTCTTGTATTTATTGTTTTCAAATTTCCTCTAACAGGTGATTCTTCCCAGATTTCAGTATAGACGCCTTTACTCTCTTCAGTAGAACACCCTCGATGCTAGTTTTGTTTTGGTGCTCAGAAAACGAGTTGAAAGTTACTCCTTTTTTGTGTTCAAACATATGGAAAGCTGAAAAACAATGATTGAATATTAGAAAAGATGAAAATTAATGCAAAACAAAAGCGTGTGTAACAAACCCTACACAGATAGGCCACGTGATAACATGCGTGACGTCAAGTTATTGATGATTTTTGCTTTTGTCAGCCATTGCCCCCTATGGATTCGTACAACGAATCAGCCATTGCCCCCTCTATATTAGTTAAACCAGTCAGCCATAGTCCCATCTATATAAGTATGAAAAATCAGCCATTGCCCCGTATATATTAGTAAAACGAATCAGCCATAGCCCCATCTAGATTCGTATAACGAATCAGTCATTGCCCCCTCTATATTAGTAAAACGAATCAGCCATAGCCCCATCTAGATTCGTATAACGAATCAGCCATATCCCCCTCTATATTTGTATAATGAATCAGCCATATCCTCCTCTATATTAGTATAACGAACTAACCCTTAGCCTCCCCTATAATCGTATAATTAACTAACCGTTAGCTTCCTCTATATTAATCCACTTTGTAGAACGTCGATCATGCAAGACTCTCTGAAAACCTTCGTGCCAGACAGGATGACAGATGCCGAAGTAACAGCCAACCTGGGAATAACAAAATATTAAAAAAGATTCCTCTTTAGATGTAGTGGGCAGATAAAATAGAGTTCATATGTTTCGTGACCTCGGAACTTGAAGGGATGGGTCAGGGCTATGCCCAGGCGCCAGTGATTCCTTAGCATGAGTGCGTACTCAAACACATTCTACTGATATGACCCCGGATTCGAACTCTACCGCTAACCACGTAACCTGGGAATAACTCAACATATTTTTTTTTGTTTCAACTGAACCTTGTTAACTATGGTAAAAAATGTGTAGTTTCTATTTGTTTTCGTTTTTTTAATGTTGGGAGATATTACGTGTGAATTTGTTATACGCAATAAAGACCATTGACTCCCATTTCAGCCTGCAATTATTTCTTTTTTATTGTGCTTCCATAGACTTTTTTTTATGTGCTTCCATAGACTTTGTCCAACCAAGAACAGACGATCGGATATCATCTGCCCGGAGGTTCAAACTCGAAGCTTTTCGGTTTAGCAACAGTAAGCTTTATCGACTCGACCACGCCAACCTCTTTTTAATACACTGCTAGCTGAACCACTGTTCTTAAGTAGTAATGTTTTTTATGAAAAAATAATTCTAGAAATATAAAAGGCTGATAGGCCTGATTATTTAAACGTTGAGTATTATATTGCAACAGTGTGTGTTAGAAACAGGCACATGCTACGAAAAAAATATGAATGAGCATTGTTAACGTTGCTGTGTCCTTATAAGGAAGAAGGTAAAGAAACCAACCTGCAATCTGCTGTCGATATGAAAACTGTCAGGGTATTTCTCGTAGATCTTGTAGTACATAAGACAAGAGTTATAGCCCCATATGTCATCACGGTAATACCTGCGGAAATTGTGATGTGAGCAAAAAAATTAACACCAGAGATAGGTCATCACGGTAATACCTGCGGAAATTGTGATGTTAACAAAAAATTAACACCAGAGATTGCCTCATGCAAACTTCGGTTATACTAAACATTTTTACTGATTAGTTTAACTCACCTACTCTCAGGAATACAATTTTAAAACCTATCCACATGAGCTTAGAAATTAAAAATATAAATCGGGAGTGATCTCCCCTAAACTTTCTCGAAGATTCTTATTTAACACTACGGGGGATGGCAAATCGTGATATAGACATGACTTTTAATCCAATTTTTATTACTTAAACTTTTTAAAATAGAATAAAATCTCGTAGAAAATCGAGTAGCGCGCCAAGTGAACGACAAACAATATGTGTATAATAGTGCAAAATATTGTATTCTTATGATTATTGACAAATCTGAAATAGCATACAGCACTACTTCCGGTCAACGGAAATTACTCAGAAGGCAGAGAAATAGATGTTTCACTTGCATGTGAAATTTCACTTTATCTATCTGAAACAGTACTTTTGAAAAATTGAAAATAGAATAAATTCAACTTCCAGTTACCGGAAATCACGGAAAAATTGAAACAGAACTATAAATTTGATATACTACTCATATATGAAATTTCATCGACCTAGCTGTAACGATACTCAAGTTATCGTGTTTACAGACACATAGACAGACACACACACACATACACACAGACATACGGGCAAGATTGCAAAAATATGTTTTTTTCGACTCAGGGATTTGTAAAAATCTCTATATTTTTTTTGCACGATTACAAGATATTCTCTATAATTCGTATATACGAGAAAGTAATAAATTGAAAATGATCTTCCCTAAACTTTTTCGAATATTCTCATAAAGACTTCATAAATCCCACAACTTACATGAAAGACTTTATAAATTCCACAACTTACCTGAAAGACTCTAGAACTTTCAACCAGAAGAAAGCTTTAGGCTTGGACACAATCAGACCGTTATTAAGTTGTCTGGGCCAGGTGCCTAGGTCCTGCCAGTCGTAACTTCCAGAGACGGGGTACCGTCTTTGTTCTTCAGAGAGAGGCTTCGTCCAGATGACGTCATAGTCCTTTGATAAAAGTATCTAACTATTACTCAATCGCCAATTGGTTGAGATTGATAGAAACATTCCTAACACAAATTATTATTTGATTACAGGCTGACATTGACTGTGCTATTCTACATTATATCCAAACGCAATAAATTAATAAGACAAAGTAACGGCATGTATGCGTTGTTTTGCATATATTTCATGGAGCTTGGACTCAAGTACTGCTGAACTCTATTTGATCTATAGTAGCGTGTCGCTTGACCTACTTTCTTTTACCGTCATCAAAGTAATAATGGCTGTAGAAAACGAAGATAACGTGATTCCGTTTTTTATGGACATTTCTGAATTAGATACTAATACTCGTTATTTTTGCGTATTTTAACTATTGGCGATTAGTGTTTGTTGAAAGCTTACCATTTGTTCATTTTTTTTCTAATCGCTGAGAGTAACGAGCACAACATAATATAAGTAAGCAAAACGTGAATTGCTTTATATAATATTGTTATAAACTTACTGAAAAATACTGTGAACAATTGAAAATTATATATTGTGTCCTACTAAAATAATTTCCTTTATTTACAAAAAAAAGTCATTCGGATGAAAACAAAATCTTCAAAAAATAACTTGATCGAGGCATCAGATAGCTAAGCCCACCCATTTTGCCAGCCGTGTATTTGAATGGGAAAAAAATCTAGCAGACGACACATTTCTGCTGAACGGTGCTTAATGATCCATCGGGTCACAAAATTTCACCTTAAAACTAACACACCGTATCACTGAGTATCAGTCATATCATCGTAGACATTTTTAAAAAAAAACGTTTTTTCACAAATTATTTTCTAGGCTACCGATTGAATTTGATATTTAAAATGTGTATCAAATTAAAGATAAATAAAAGTAGTTTTTTAATTGTTTAAGTTATCTTGAATAATAATGAAGTTTAAAATCGTATGCGTCACCCTAATCTATAGATAAGCAAAAATTGTCAAGTTAATATAAGGGTCAGATACAGGGTAATAATTATGGAAAAGATATTATTAAGGATAAAGATAGAGTTAAGGATAGGTTTATGATTAATTTTTCGCAGCTGGATATGAAAATGTTACGATAATATAACGGGGTCCACAACGGATTAATAACAAAGAGTAATTGATTTGGGGGAGTACTGTCATAGATTTAAAATCAATAATGTTTTTCTCAAGGTAAAATAGAAAAAAAAAACAATATTGTTAAGTGTGAAAACCCCATACGTTGTACGCTCCCCCGTATTTGTAAAGAATCTGGACTCTAAGAATGTCTGATCTGTGCTCCAGCCCCTTTACATCTTGTTGAAACACGGATGTTGGTTGGTCCACCTAAAACATTAAAAAAATAAATAATCTTTAGATAACTAGTTCAACTATTAGGATTAAGCAGAGGCGTAGTGAGGGGGGGGGGGGGGCGGGGGTGCTTACCACACCGGGTGACACCATTTAGGGGGGTGACAATAAATAGCAAAAAATAGCAAAATATATAGAGAAAAATGATAATTCCATTTAATTGAGTGATTAATTCGAGTGTTAAATAGTCTTTTAAGAGGTTCAAATCGAAAATTTGAGTGGGGTTGGTGCAAATCGAAAGTTTGAGGGGGGGGGGTGGGGGAGGGGGGGGGAGGGTGCAAATCGAAGATTGGAAGTTTGTCCCCGGAAAGGGCCGCTACGACTCTGAGGGGGTGACACCATTAAGTGCCGCACCGGGTGACACCGACCTCGCTACGCCACTGGGATTATTTATCAGAACATATTTTATCAGTCGGTATAAATTTATTTCGAGATTTCCACACGCATTTCATTTTTTTTTTCCATTTATTTGATTTCTTTTACCATTGAATAAACCGGATAACACTTAGGTTATTAAAGATTTTGTTTATGATAAATATATGTCTATTTCATTATATAACGTTATATACTCACGATCATCAATACAATTAAATTGGAAAATAAAGAGGTTCAAACATATTGCTTTTATTTTACTTTAAAAGAAATGTCTAGAAACTTACATAAACAAACGTGACGTTTTCTTTCTTAAGCCTCTCCCATACTTTACCTGAAGGTTCTGTGTCACCATGTACATACACTCTGTGTGAGTAGCATATTGAATTAAGAGCACATTTAGGGTGACAGTAACATGACAGTCTTTATAAGTCAGTATATTGATATTTAATTATTGGGATATCAATTAAATTTTCTGAAAAAAGTAAAAACACATTGGCTCAAAACTCACAGCGAGAATATTGTTATCATCAATTTATAAATTTAAGGACTTATTAAATATGTATTCAAATTTTAGACATAGCTAATCAAATGTTAGTGTTTTGAAAATCAAAATATTAATTGTAATCACATTATTATTACTACTTACAAATTGAATACATTTTTTTTCTAAAACAAGGTAATAATTATTTTTAATTTACAAATGTAAACCCCATATTTCAACTTTTCCCTAACAGTTATATCAGAGGCGCTGCGACCCTTCCCGGCGCCCGGGGACAAACTTTCGATTTGCACCCCCCCTCGAACTTTTGACTTTGCACCCCCCCCCCCCTCAAACGTTCGATTTGCATCCCCCTTCGAACTTTGATTTGCTACCCCCCCCCCCTCAAACTTTCAGTTTTTTCCCAACCCATTTTGACGCCCCCCCCCCCCCAAGGTCGGCGCCCGGGGACATATGTCCATCCCCGCCCCCCCCCCCCCTTGCTACGCCTCTGAGTTATATCTATGCACATTCTCTGTTTCATTTCATTACTGAATAGATATAGATTAAGTAATAAAACTTATAATTTAATATTCAATCATCTTGAAAGTCTTAGATTGTTATTGGTATACTGGCAACAGGGGAAATTTCGAACATAACGCACACAAGCAAGAAAGTATCGTTAACAAACAAACACACACTCATACACATACATACATTAAATTAGTATCTTAGCTCATCCACACACGACACCCACCTTAAAAATCCACTCACACCAACATATCCAAAAGTCCAACTTTTTTATTATCTGGCCAAACGATCTCACCAATAAACAACGACCTCACCTTTCAAATCCACCAACGTACAAGGCTGACAGAACACTTATGTATTTCTCAAAGTTCCACTCAACTGGGTTACCAGGTTTTGGGTTGAGGAAGATCACGTGATTGATAAGTGGCACCAGATCTGATGAGTCCTTGCATTACAATCATAAACATTTATATGGACACGAGACACAGGGTAACACTACTGCTAGCCTAAACGACACAAACTAAATCTTTTATATACATAGAAATCGATGCATTTTAAAATATTTCATAGTAGTATCATTTTTAAGTAAAGAACAACAATTAACCTAACATTGAAACCAAAACTTATATGTCCCCTCCCCCCGGAACGAAATGGAATTTATATAGAAAATATATACTTTTGACAGTGTCCGCCCCCCCCCCCCCCCCGCGCGGAAATTGTTTCGCCCCCCCCCCTCCCCCCAAAAATTTCAAGTGCACCCCCGGAGAAAAAAGTCTGTAAGAAAAACTGTTAACAACGTCGCACAAAGTTTGGCATACCCTAGGGACAACACTGAACACAGAATCAATAAATATAGCCTTGAAGTTTAATAATTTACTTAAAACTAAAAATAGATCAGAAGACAACGATAAGCTGACGGCGACGGTCTTTTGAAGACACACAATTCAGACGGCCCGCAATAAGATAAAATACGACGGAAGGATTTATACCGATAACAAAATTTGACGCGATCTTTAAAGCAACACTGAGAGCACGGCCATAATTTCGAAATATAAATATAAATTTCCCAGTTAAATACTTGGATTCACACAATGAAACCTTTAAAGGGGACTTGCTAAATGTATTTCTATTTTTTTTTACAATTTAAATCTAAAGCCTTTTGAATATTTTTATCATGTTTGGCACATGAAAGTAAGTATTAAACAGCAAAAAAACAAAAAAATACTGAAACAATTTTAGTTGTCATGGAAACCCTAAAAAACTACCATTTTGAATTGTTTCAGTACTTTTAAAAATGCTAATTTTTTTTTTTAATTATGCACTTATAGCAATCAAATTTAAACTGCTTATATTTCAGTGTATATTAAAACTTTTCTCACGACAACATTTTGAAATACCTATTGATCAGAAATTTACAAGGTCTAAAAAATAGCAAACATTTTAATATCCAAATGCTTTAAATTTGCATATTATTTACCGTAAACATTTTATTCTATGAAAGACATCACAATTCCCTCATGACATAAGCTTTATCTTTGCCTGAAGAACAATTACTGAATATACGGTGGACATTGTTTAATAAATAAAAAGTATAGGCTTTTAAGTGTTAAAAAACTGCGAACTGAGAAAAACAGCAAAACGTAGCGAAAAGTAAGTCACCAAAATACCATATATGTGTAAATTGTAAAGCCGATTGTAAGCTTTGAATGTTTCCGAGATGATGTTAAATACGATTATCAAATACATGAGAAATCCAGCTTTCAAATGATGCAAAATACAATAAGATGACAGATATAAAACTGTCCGTAGAGAGCTTGTAAAACTGGGAGAAAATAATTATTTTTTTAATTAATAGGGACATAAAAATCGTATGTTAAACACATACAATTTTGTTTTCTCAATTTAGTTATTATTTTCTTAATATCAAAATGGACAAAGTATTCAAAAGTGCAAAAAACCCATTATGTTGAAATCCCAGGAATTTTGTTATTTTTTACTGAGCATTTCCCCTTAAAGTTAAAGAAAAAGAATACAAACGTATAAGTAAATAAAAAATAAAAAGTAGAGTGGAAATAATAGTTATAATTAAAAAATCCTTGACCATTGTAGCGAGACGGGTGATCCAGTAGATCACCAACCAGTTCTACGGCTCAATAAAACCTGCATTAGCTATAGAACTGGTTGGTGACCTACTTACCAGCCCTACTCCCCATTGACTGACAGAAAAAGTGAAGGTTAACTTACGTATATATTGTAAGTTATCACCCCTTCCCAAAAACATTTTAAAGACTGTCGACCGAGGTAACTATAGATTGAGTAATGTAGAAACGACGTGTAGGGGAGACAACTAGATAACTCTTTTCATACCAAATGTTTCACTTTCTTTAATCCTAAATAACAAAGCGACTTAGGTCGCCATTTACCCCGCGAAGGTGATTGACAGCTTGACGGCTGGTAAAGGGTAGAACACCCGAGCACCTGCCCCCACACCCCTACTCTGCTATAGGAGGATTAACACATATAGACAATATACCTTCACGGGTTCCTCCTTCCCCTACCCACACCCATTACGCCTTTAATAAAAACATAATACGAAAACGAAGCGTAACAAACACGCAACACTATTGCAAGAAGACGACTGAGACTATATTGTAGCGAAGGGCAAATGAAGGACATCAAAGCATAGGACGTGGCAATCTCAAACGACACCTCATATAAATTCGGGGAATATTTGAGCTAGTGTGACAGAACTACACTAACCACACACAGGGGACACAACATTAGGGACCGAGAGGTGATAGCGACGAAACCGGTCAAAGGGAAATAGCTATAAAAAAACCACATTTAACCCACCCCTTTTTTTCCGCTGCAAAGTAAATAACAGCGCACGCTACACCTCACTCAGATCAACACGAGAAGTAGCAATGCTGAGTCATCGGGAGTGGAAGTATACCACATGTTGAATTGTAAAAAAAATTATTGAGAAAAAAAGTGAGTTATGATATATATACTAGTTTGTAGAGAAATAGAGTGAATATTTTACTAATTGAGATACGTTTATTATAATTACGCATATCTCCGTTACCCCCTTATACACTAGTTTATAGAGAAATAGAGTGAATATTTTACTAATTGAGATACGTTTATTATAATTACGCATATCTCCGTTACCCCCTTATATACTAGTTTGTAGAGAAATAGAGTGAATATTTTACTAATTGAGATACGTTTATTATAATTATGCATATCTCCGTTACCCCTTTATATACTAGTTTATAGAGAAATAGAGTGAATGATATTTTACAAATTGTTGTACATTTATTATATGTATATCTCCGTTACACCCTATAAAGTTTTGGTTACATCCCCAAATGTCAAGGACGATGTAACCCCAAATGTCAAGGACGATTCAACCCCAAATGTCAAGGACTATTCAATCTGCAATTCAAACCAATGAAGATGAAATCAGGAAGCAATGCTGAATACAAACCCCCCACCCCCCCAAACGCTAGATCCCCACTCATCTCATGATTTCTATTGCCCCCCCCCCCCCAACCCCTTCCCGCCCCTTTCTCTGCTTTAGGAACAGTAATCGCTTTTTCATAGCACAGTCTTCATATCGTCCCACCGCCCATTCATGTTTTTAAAAATGTATTACATGAATATTTACGAATTAAAGTTACATCTACAATCAGTCCTCAAATGTTGTATGACGAAATCAAAGTAATAAAACAGCAGATGCCCTCGGGACAACGCACGGGCACGGTGACAAAATTACATCAACTGAGACATAAAAAAAATATTAAAAAGAAGCCATTTGGGCTTTATAGATTAGAGGGGTCGTCCCGGTCAGGCCCTGCACTATCTGTAAAAAACTACCTGTAAAGTGCTTATTAAGCGGCATATACTCGGCATTGCCCTAACCACAACCTACCAAAAATAAAAAACAAAAACGAACGCAAACACAAACGCAAACATAAACACAAATGAAAACACAAACCCATAGAAAACGCAAAAGACAAACATAAACATAAACGTAAACGTAAACACAAAAACGCAAACGTTAAGCAAAAGAAAACACAAACGCAAACAAAAACAAAATAACAGCAAACATCAACACAAAAGCAACACTAAACGCAAACCCAAACACAACTGCAAACACAAACACACGTACAAACAGATACGCAAACCTAAACGCAATAAAATAACTCAGAACATAAACACAAAGTTAAATGCAAATATAAACGAATAGTGCTATCAGTATAGCAAACTCAAACGTTAAGCAAACGCAAACGCAAACACAAAAGCAAACACAAACACAAATGTAAACGTAAACTTAAACAAAAACAGAAAAACTAAATAGTGATTTTTAGTCATTAACACTAAGAATTTTTTTGAGACCACTTGATATAGGTTAACAAACACGATTGCATCATCAGTAGGGGAAGTCACTTTCATTTGCCTCACAATGGAAGATGCGACCAGTATTTCTTTTAGTTATTTTTCTCTTGAGGAGCTGCTGGGGCGCTTGAAAATTTGGGAGGGAGCGGATAAGCTTTGCGGGGGGGGGGGGGGGAAGGGGGAGGAGGACAGACACTAGCTAAAGTATATATTTAGTAAATTATATTTAATTTGGAGGTGTTGAGTCGCTAGACTCGAAGAGATGCCTAAAAAAAAACCTCTGAGACAACACTGTTTACGGTTGAACGTCCAAATGCAATAAACATTATGTATATAAATCAACTTTAATCAAAATACCTTTGCACCCACTAAATATTTTCTTGTATTAGCTAGTATTTTTTAAAGTAAACTTACATCACCCCGTTCCGTCTGTCCGTAACACAACCATCTCAACAGAGCACTAAATGATGTCGAACTGTTGATGATGTTTTCTGGGTAAAGTTGGTTTGACATCACTACACAAGGTGACGTCTGGTTCTCAAATTGTTCCGGAGTTAAACATTCCATTTTTTGACTCAGGACATTATTTTTAAATTGTTTGATATCGGATTCAGTTTTCCCATCAATTCCGTGTTTAACAAACACTATCATGTCCTCACTGCTAGAACTACCCTGTTTTTGATAAGTGAAATATTTTCCAGTCTTCCATGTGTCAGGGACATGCGTCAACACGGCCCTCTCACCTACATAGACGCCCCCAACTTTGTTTGATGCCATTTGTTCTAGAGAAAAGTCCACGGCGTCCATTGTGTTACATTGAATTGGTCTGTCTATTTTTTTAAAAACCAAATTAGCCAAAGACTGTTTTAATTCTGGGAACCAAGAATAATAAAAACTTCCATCCGTCTTAGGTAGAATGTTATGATAAAAAAATATCCTCAACGGTTCTAAAACTTTGGCGATGCTTAGGAACACCAAGTAATCTCTAAACGTGAAGATTTTATCCCCACACCAAACGTAATGAGCTGTTGTAGGAATCTCTCCAGGGTTAAATTGTTTCATTTGTAGACCGCTGAGTATATCTCTAGTACTTCTGATGTCTTTCCATGCCTGCAGTCTACCTTCTGATACTAGTACATTTGTTGGTTCTCTTTCATATCTATAGCATTGTGTGAACCAGCCTAGGCATAACGTAATGCTAATAAAAGTTATAATGCCAGCTGTTATCAGTTTCTTAAATGGTACGTTCATTTTGATACTGTTTTAAATTATGTCTGAAATATGATTTAAGGAAAAAAAATTCAAGAAACGGTTTAATTAAGCAAAGATGTATATATGTGATTGTGTGCAATTTAATAAGATTAAATAAATGCAAATTACTTTCTATAATAATTTTTTTTTTACAAAAACATTAAAAATTAATGAAGAATGTGTCTTTAGAATGAGGACACTATAGTAATAAAATCCTAAACATCTTTTCGTTTATAATTGTATTAATTTGTACTTTCACCAGTCTATTTATATCAACAGCAGTTAATCTAAAAAGGTAAAAATAAGTATGATTGATTTAAAGTGGTTGTAAATTAATGCAGCTCATATGTGTACCAAAAAACTATTAACACAAAGCAGTTAACATGGACAAAATATTTCGAGAAATTGATTTTAAATGAAGCATTTTTGCCTAAGGAATGTCACAACTCTGTTTTGTATCGATATTTTAAAATATCAATTCTTAAATTAACCCTTATCTACCATCGACGATTCGATACATATCTAAAGCGTTATGTGCACTATTTAAAAAAAAGCCATATAAACATATTTCTATAAGAATACTTGACATCAAATAATACACTTACCATTAGCGTAATGAAAACTATACCTCCAACTACACATTATATTCCACTATTTCCATTGATCACATTTGGTTTTTAAAAAGCCCAACTGTTTTCTTCGTTTAATATCCTCTAGTTAACACTTTGTCTTCGTTAAACATTAAAACACATTGTCGGCTATAAAAAATTTAACTGTATCGAGTAACACTAAAGGGAATTCCAGGCTCCAGGCGTATGGAACTCTACTTTATTGATCGACAGAGTTACGGACGGTACATGCAAAGTGTGTCTAACACTCGAGGGTTCATAGCAGGAAATCTGTGGGTGAGGAGGGGGGAGTGTTGGAGGGGGTGGGCTCCAGTCGTCTGGAACTCTTCTACTTCATGAATCCACAAAGTTACTTTCGGTACCAGCAATGTGGGCAGATCTAGCACAATATGTAATCTGTGTGTGTTAGGGGGGGGGGGGGTTGATGGGGAGGGGGGTGAAGCATCTTGAACTCTTGTACTTGATGGATCCAAAAAGTTACTGACGGTACCGGCAATGTGGTTTTTATTTATTATCGGAGGAATCGTTGCCAGTGGCGTAGCAATGGGGGGGGGGGGGGCTCGGTGGGTGCGGACTGCACCGGGTGACACCATATAGGGGGGGGTGACACCAAGGCAAAAAATAGCAAAATATATAGAGAAAAGTGATAATTCTACTTAATTAAGTGTTTAATTAGAGTGTTAAATAGTCTTTTAAGAGGTGCAAATCGAAAGTTTGAAGGGGGGGGGGGGATGCAAATCGAAAGTTTGTCCCCGAGAAGGGTCCCTAGGCATCTGGGGTATGCCACAATTAGGTGCCTCACCGGGTAACACCCGACCTCGCTACGCCACTGATCGTTGCTATAAAAATGGATTCACAATTAAACCAAAAAAAATAAACAAGATTATTTATAACCTACAAATAATAATAGTTTTAAGTTAATTTCATAAACGTAATATTAAAACGCTTAACAAATAAAAAAAAAAACATGACAAAGGTTAAATGTAAAGTTATAAATATCCTTAAACGTTTTATTTTTTGATGCAGTATGCAGCATTTGATAAAGTCAGCTCTAATTATTAAAATAAAATGTAGTAGTCTTTATTTCAATCATCAAGGGAGACAACGAGATTAAAATTCAAAGTGCCAACTTTTGCTGGTTAAAAGGATTACTGTTCCTGACAAAACATTCATCAATATAGACCTAGGCTTAGTAAATTCGTTGGATTCAAATTACTGTATTATTGCTTAATTAAAAATTTAAATTCAATATTTTAAAAGTAGGTTTGATTAAGCTATGTTTATTTTTTTCTTAAAATATGTTTGCTTTAAAGAAACATGATAGAATTAAAGTCATTAGTTGTCCGACAAGTTTTTTTTATTCGAATCTTTTTTCTAGTTAAACACTTTGTCGATAATAAATAATTTGTACTATTGTAAATCTGTACCAGTCCTCACAAGCCGATGATGAAAACTGTAATACTAAAGCGAACTCACAACTGACGCTGTAAATTACATGTCTGAGGCGGGGAAAAAAAAAAAAAGATATTAAATAATTTAACTGTATCTGATAACACTAAAGGGAGCTCCAGGCGTGTGGAACTTCATTGATCAACACAGTAACTGGCGGTACATGAAATGTGGGTCTAACAGTCGAGGGTTCGGAGCAGGTATTCTGTGTGGTGGGGGAGGGGGGGGGGGCGTTGGAGTGTGGGAGGGTGGGCTCCAGTCGACTGGAACCCTACTACTTTATGAATCCACAAATTTACTTTCGGTACCAGCAATGTGGGCGGGTATAGCAGCCGAGGGTTCTTATGTTCACAACATGTAATCTGTGTGTGTGTGTGTGAGTTGGTGATGGGGGGGGGGTTGAGGGGTGGGTGGGCTCCAGTCATCTGGAACTCTTCTACTTCATAAATCCACACATTTACTTTCGGTAACAGCAATGTGGGTGGGTCTCACAGACCGAGGGTCTTATGTTAAGAACATGTAATCTGTGTGTGTGTGTGTTGGGGGATTGGGGAAGAGGGTTATAGTGGTAGGGGAGGGGGGGTGGTGAAAGCATCTTGAACTCTTGTACTTGTTGGATCTAAAAAGTTACTGACGGTACCGGCCATGTGTTTCGAACAGGTGCTGGTCTTAAGTTGACAACAGGTAATCGGTCTGGTGGGGGTAGGGCAGTGGATGCTGTGGTGCTTAAAGTTGTCGATTGTTTGGTAGGGAGTGCATTGTCAGTCCATTGGTGTAATGGTAGCAGGAGCAAGAAAACGGGTGGAAAACAAATACTAGAAGTATCGGCACTAAAATTGGCGGACGATTTTGGGTTTTTGGCAGTTTCAACATCCAAAGGCACCGATACCATCATTCAAGTTATTCTATTCAATGTATACTTGTAACAACAGGTGACACGGAGGCCTTTTTTCAAATTGGTCTTTTAAAAAATAAAAAAAATAAAAAATAAAACATAATAACAGTATTTTAGTAAAAAGTAATTTAGTAGCAAAGACATACCAGTAACAAAGCATTCAAAAATATGGAATTAAAGAAAAAAAAATACTACATAGTTATATTACAAAATGAGATAGAATGAGAATATAAGAGATGATTGAGAAATGTTACAATGAGTTAGTTAAAGAGGTAATTAAATAATTGTTGTTTTAGCTTAGTTTTCAATATATTTTCAGATTTTATGTTATTAGAAAGATTGTTCCACAAATTAGGACCAGATTAGGCGAAGCAATGTTTTTGAAAAAAAACGTTGTAAACGGGATCGGTAAACTAAAACGACGATTTAATTTTGTGCTAAAAGAAAATAGATCTGATAAGTAAAAGGGGACTGTTTCGTAAAATCTCTGATTTCCGAGTCAATATTCGATTGATGATCAATTGTTAAAGCAGTAACAATGTTTTGAGCAAACTATGGTAAGATTTACCAATAGTACAAACTTTTGACATTTGTTAAAACTGATCTATATCCAGCACATATCTTATGATGTGCTGGTTGATTGACCCATTAAAACGTGAGAACTATAGACATAACTATGATATGCTTAGCTAACCAAGTAATACACAATTAAGTATTTAATTGATTATTTAATAACCAAATATTAACACTAATTATTAATTATAATGGAATGATATAATGTGTTGATATAGAATTATAGATCAAGGGCCATAACATAAACATGCATCGTTAGATTCATTGTATTTATTACAAACCGCAGCAAACAGTGTACTGAATTTTTCTATACACGTGATACGCAAGCTGTAACATTATGATACATTAATTAAAGGTCTTAAATGTTCATTATTTACTTGCTCTTTTCATATTCATAGTTTTTTAAAGACTGAAATAATAAGGATTTGAAAAAAAAAACAATTAGCTCTAAAATTTTAATATTCTCGTCACCAACTCAGGTTTGAGACCCCTATGTGAGTATCTGTAGTGGGGACAATATTTACAGTAAACTAAGCAAATATTCAATCTAATGCAATGTGTGATTAACATTGTTAAATGTGCCTTTTTAAAAATATTATCGAGGTAACTTGGCTTTATTAAAAGGTGGCCTACACTCGATACAATTTTAGGAATATTTTTTGTTTAATCTGTAGCACCTATAACACTTTGTCAATATACCAAGGGATTTAGCTCCAACTTAAGAGCAATGCTCTTAATCATCAGACAAATTGTTGCTATTTAAGTAGTTTCAGAATTAAACAATAACTTCAAACGATTTTATTAAACATACAAATAATAAACCTTCTTAGTTTTTTCCTTAAACTTATTATTTTATTAAAAACATATTAGAAATTATTTCAATGATTTTTTGTTTCATTACGAAGGATGAAAACTACGATATTCTAAACATCACAATTTTTTTAAGATATAGAGGCAATACTGATAGTCAGCTTTAATTATCAACATACAATTAAGGACTAGTCTTTGTTTCAATTATCAAGGGAGACAATCAAATAAAAAAACTTAAATCGCCATGTGTTGCGAGTTAACAGGGTTATCACCCCTGTCGAAACATTTTCCAATCTACACATTGGCATAGTAAATTAGTTGGATGATTCAACACAATCCATTACAGTTTAGTTAATCAAATTCAATATTTTAAAGTAGGGTTTATTAAGTTAATTTTTTTCTTTACATAAAGTTTTGC